GGTTTAATTAATATATATAGAAAGGGGTGTTTAAAAAATATGTCTAGATTATTTGTAACCAGGATTATTAGAAGCCCTGCTAATTATCATCTTGCAATTACCATCTCTCATGACTGTTAGCCACTTCATAACATATCATATTTACCACGTGGCAGGGGTTAAAATCTTTCAAATAAACAAACTGCTCAGTTGAATATGTGTCAACACTAAATGTTAATAGTATCTCTATTTTACAGTATATGATTATGATATAATTATCACACGATGAAGATAGACCAGGGGTTCTTCGCGTAATCAATGATTAAAGAGCATGCTAGGGTGATTAAGAGAGTTAATTTAACAATAAACCAGAGCTACGAATTGTATCAATCTGCCCTTTTCTTCTGTCATGTTTTTGTTTCAGCCAATACTACGATCATGACATCTAAACAACTTTATGAACGCTAAAAAGCAGGAAGTCATGTTTTGTGCTATAAGACCCACAATGTGATTAGTGTCATATCAACGGGGAGGGAAAAACTAATTGAACCAAAAAAAGAAGAGAAAAAATCGTGAGAAAACTTGTTCATATCGGGGATTTTCATGATATGTTGTGGCCACTGATGAAACAACAAGTTAATAGTCAAATCTAGCAGGTAGAATAAAGTTATGTGAATCTTTTTTTTCTTGCAATATCATCTGGACTTAATTAAGGAAAAACAAACATGGAAGTCAGGCAAACAGGTGTCTCCACCAACAACATTACTGTCAGGCAACGAATGATTGAGATCCTTGGACATTTCGACTGGCAGACATGGGAACAATAGCATACACGCTGTTCATTTCTGATATAATGACTTTGATTCTGTCAAATTAACGCAGACCATTAATGACGTCCTGTTCGGGGTGATATCATACGGACTATCAAGATATTTGGATCACAGATCTCCGAAAGGTAAAGCGAGATTTTGTTTTGGTGCTTGGATTTCGGATTTTGAACAAACATTTCCGTACTATTTATATTGAATTCAATGCATCTGTAGCTCTGAAAGAGGGCCAGCAAATAACAGGAATGGCCATGGTTAATTTAAGAGAACAGCTATCCATGCAGGTGAATTATCCTCTTCCTTCACTCTCTCTACGTTTTTTCAAGATTCCAAAATAGTAAATTCGGGACCAATGTCTTATCAACACAGTTGTCATATTCTAGGTAAACCCAGATAAAGCTACTAGCTCAAACCATATTGGAAAACATTTGCGAACTTCAGATGACTAGTTTAGTAATATAACGTAAATGAGTAACTTTTTAATCCAAGGATGGATAATTTATTTGTTTCAATCTAAAGAAATCTATAGCCTGTCGAAATAGATCTATCTAGACATTTTACATACGGTTAATAACATGTTTTCGCTTATACTTTGCAAGCCATTCAAATGGTTTCCTGACTGACCTGTTCAGGATCTATCCGAGATGTTGAAGAACAATTCAGGATCGCAATCACGATGGGGCAACAGGTTTGGCTTCATTCTCCTACCTGTTTTTTATCATAAAAGTGATGTCGACCCTCTTCAGCACGTGGGACGAGCCAAGACGATGATTGACAGGAAGAAAAAAACATCAGAGGCTCACTTCACGTATCATATCGGACATCTAGCAATGTCTTTTCTAGGACCGAAGGTAAACAAGACATTGAGATTTTCTTACCTCATAGTTTTGATGTATGCTTATATATAACTCGATTCTGTTTGCATTTCAGGCCGCACATGTCCTTAATTACAGGGTTCTTTGTAATACTACGTTTACGTTCTCAAACGTGGTTGGACCCCAAGAGTTGGTTACTATGTCAGGCAATCCTGTAACGTTCATAAGGGTGAATACATCTAGCATACCCCATGTACAACCTCTGAACTTTAATGATTCTCCATTTTTAAACTTTAATGCCATTGTTTGTTGGTTGGTAATGCATAGAGTAATTTGTTACTAATACAAGTGTTTTTTTTTTTTTTTGTTGGGTGATAATGCAGGCACTCACGATGCACATGGTGAGCTATGCAGGAAGAGCTGACATGCAAATCATGGTAGCCAAAGACATTATCCCGGACCCAGAATTTCTTGCCAAGTGCTTTGAAGATGCCTTGTTTGAAATGAAGGAAGCAGCTGCAGCCACTGTATAAATTACTCACGGAATACATATATTGTCATTGTCTCATTAATTAATTAGCACATTGGTTTCACCACACCGATTTAATCGTAGAATGAAATACTTGTAATATTTAGTGTGCTATTGGGAAACCACGTTTCCTTTCCATATGTTATTTTTAGAATCTATTGTTTAAATTTTTTTTAAAGCTATAATCACAATTAAAAGCCATAGCTTTTCTAAGCGGATTTTTAAGCACAGATTGCTATTGAAAAAAATGCAAGTACATGAAAACTTAAGTCTAAATAAAAATACTTTATTCAACATGAAAAAAAAAGAAAAGTGGAGGCACTCATCCTCCATCCCTTTCTCTCTTGATATCCACAAGTGTGTATGTTGCCTTGTTTTTCTTTATTTCAGTTCAGGCCACATATCATTCATTGAGGATGTAGCCGCTACTCAACCTCCTCAGCATCTTCATTACTTGCTAAATATGCTTCCAACTAGATGTTTTGATCATTGCCATAATAATCCATGGTGTTGGAAGAAACCCTGAAAATGTAGAGTGTTTTTTCTTTTATCTTTCTTTACTGGTGGTCTATCCATTAATGACCTGCTATTTTTTGCAATTTGTTTGGTTGTAGTGAAACCATCATATCTCCAGGGGCCAAACAAGGGTCGATACCACTTGTTATTGCTCTATCGGAGAATCTGTAAGGTTAGACGTACATTTGGGTGTACATTGTATTATGGTACGCTCATGAGTCATGGCAGTTTAATCGGTAACTGTCAGTTTCATATCATAGACGTGTTTTGCCAATAGGTTCTGTAACTGCACTGCTGCGGTGGCCAACAGCCCCACCTGGGTAAGATACGTATAATTTTCTTGTTGAATTGTTGTTGATTTTCTACTGTGTTTCGATGTTGTTAATGGCATTTGGAAAATTTATTTATTGTTTTACCTATCTTCACAAAATTGGTGCTGATCACATGGAATGGAGATGCCGGTTGTGGATGTTCGCAATGTGTGGCTTTTAGCCATGAATGTAACACATTAAACTGTAAGCATGCATCAATTTGAATAGTTAGATGGAGAATATTGTTGTGTGCATGATTATGTTGATTATTCATTATATTAAATTCAATGCCACCTCAAAAGTTCAACTTTTGTGTCTGCGTTGGGCATTGTCTAAGAAAATGTTTTGATTCAGTGGACAAGGGCAGCTTATATTCTACAGCACTTGCAATATGCACAGAATTCTGGTTGAGGAAGATGCCAACAATTTAAATGAAAGTAATGGTGAACTCTTTCATGCTGCCTCAGAAGTTGGAGAGAAACTTTACAGAGGGGGTGATTTTGCCGAATCTCGGATTGCAAACTGTGATGGCTATCTTCTTAAGGCTGTTCCCAGATACTTGACGCGCCATTTTGAGCAAGGGGATCATGTAAGTTATTTATGGTTTTGGCCGTCAATATTTACAATTTTTAGAGCTTCTGTGCTTAACAAATTCTCTAATACTGTGGGTGGAAGGTTTTGGCAATGGTGACAGGGGAATTCTATATAAAGAAGGGTCTGTTTCCAGGATTTGGAAGGCCCTTTGTATTCTATGCAGAGATTTTGCAGAGGTTTGTACAGGTCTTTCCAGAATGCTTCCACATATTACCAGTCTTGCGTCGTTATTTCTCAATCAATCCTTTTGATTACTTTCTTTATAGGGTTGGACGTACATCGGAAGATGCTGCAAGGGTTGCTTTAAAATCACCATGGACTTTAGGTTGTGCATAACATGTATTGACCCTTCTTTAATCTGAACTCGTTGTCTTTTAGATCTAACATTTCCTTCTTCTTATTTTCCCCTTTTCTTGATTTTGGTTATTCCTGATCAGGAAGCGGGCAGTGCACACTGGGAGGGTGAACAAATTGAATACATTAAGGAAAAGGTGAGTGAAGAGGGTAGGCAAGAGAATTTGAAGAAGGGAAAGGCAGCTGCACAGGTACCACTAAAGCCGATAATCAAAAACCAAATTTTGATTAGAAACTCTCATCGAATACATGCGGGCTGGTTTTGATGCTCATATTGATTTGGCCTGCAGAATGCATTGGATGAGGCTGCTTTCTTGTTGGATTTAGTTTCTATTTAAGGAACCTGGCATGATTTTATGGAGCTCATCGCTGAATGTTATAGAGAGGCTGGATTTGAAGATGATGCGAGATTCATTTTGTACAGAGATTAACAACCGATGAGGAAAGAATCGTTTGGTTCATGGTCATAAAATTTGATTTCAAAACTATTCTCTGATTTCTATATGTTTCAGCTGTTCTGTTATTGGAGGGGCAGTGTGGAAGTGGTCTGTATCGCATGGTTTTTGAGGCAAATGCAGAGCTTTTGTAAGCTATATAGTACAAGAAGATGTAAAACTTGATGCATATGTTTTTCTTTTTAATTACACGTTTTGTAATAAGCAAGTTGAGCATACATTTCATTCTGTCCAGTTAGAGAATATCTTCTCTTTGGCTGTAAGAAATTTTGTGGATTGGCTGTTGTGGATAATAGAGATGATCAGATTATTAGTTTGGAGGGGGGTTAGAGTGATCACCTAGCTGGCTTTGTTTCTTGTTTTCACACGAAACCATTAACCATTTCTCCATAAATTTAGTGTGTTGACGCATGTCAATTTAATATATTTTTTTGTTGTTTTTATATTATTTTAAAATAATAATATCAAAAATAATTTTTAAAAATTAAAAAAATATTATTTTAATATATTTTTAAATAAAAAAACACTTTAAAAAGTAAGTAATTATTACACTAGAATTTAAGAATAATACTCAATTAATCACCACCATTATTCTAAATTTTGGATAATACTACATAATGTCAAGTAAAAATGAATCACATATATGCATGAGCAATATTAATGGCAGCATAAGCATCTCCTTCCATTTTCTCAGTTACAGGTGCCACTTTAAGCTCCCTATGTCCTCAAACCTAGATGCATGTACACATCAAGCAATACATAAAGACAATATACGTTTCTTTTTTGAAAAGAAGAAAAAAGTATGATGCCCGCATTATCACTCTTTCCAATCATCAACCAAAACCAGTGAAGATTAAAATATTCAAACATAAGACCGTGGCTTTCACCAGTTCAGTTTGCATTGGTGCAGTCATGGCAACAGCAGTTTCTTCCAACTCGGCTTCAACAAGTTCTATCATACCTTGACTAAGGATCGGGACTTCTTGCTTGTCCCTTTCTTCCTCCTCATTAATAGCCTCCTTAGCAAACCAAATCCTTGTTTTTTACAAGGAACAATAGCCAGAGCTTCAACTGCAGCATCACCGGCTTTGTGCTCTGTTCCAATATATGCTTCAGGAGCGCATACCAAGGCATTAGGACTAATCAATCCATTACCATTATCTGACTGGTCAAGAGAGGATTTTTGTGCATCTTCAGTTGGAGATCTGAGAATAATTTCCTTAGATCTATCTTCAGCTAGCATTTGATCACGTAAGGAGAAGCGCTTGTTCATGTTCCTGATATTGGTGGCTGTGGTAGTGGCACCAGTAGTGGTGAAAACCTTGTCAAAGAGTGCTGCTTCTCTTGGTGAAGCCAGAGCCTTCAGTTGTTTTCCAAGATTAAGGATGGTTTCTTGGCATTCTGCCAACTTCACAGAAGCTGCTTTGATCTCCCAGCCCTGCAAATTTTACCATCAGATTCGGCAGTCGTGCGAAAGAAATCAATTATCTAGAATGAACTCTTTGGATTATCTTGTTTTTGTTATCAAATTAATTTCCTAGCTAAGGTGTTGGGTGTATATATCTTACAAAGTAATTTTAATTATCACAGTAAGATGTGATCGGTAACTTACATCCTGTGGATGCTTTCCCTCTTTATTTATGCCGCAGCTCATGGTTTCCTTTGCAGCACTGTTAAATGTTACAAATATATCAAAATTCTCTTTCAATCAGGAAAGTTTTTAATTTTTCCGATAATCTGCAGACTGCACAAAAAGATAAAACTCGTTACCTTTCCAGCTGAAGTTGAAGCTCAAGACAAGTTGCTTCTAATTCTTCACAGCAGTTACTTCTGTCTTCCAATTCAACTTCCAAAGACGAAAATTTCTGGAAGACCTCATTCAATTTAGCTTTGGTAACTGTAAGCTGAGTATCAAGATCTTCATTGATTGACTTCTGATTTTCAATCTGATCCTCTACCATTCGTTTTGATTCCTTCAAAATTTCCACTTCTGCTTGTAACCTTTCAACACTTTGTTCTGATTCCCGAAGCTTCACCATCAGGGTCTCCGTCTTATCAGTTGCAGACTGCAGCCTTGCTTCCATATTATCCAGCTCATTTTTCAGTCTCCCGTTCTCTTCTTGCAGATTACTCAGCTTAGATTGATCATGTTGTTTGCTTGTTTCTTTCACAGGGGTGTCGATACTGGAAGTTTCATTCAATGAATTTGCAATTGAAGATCCATTTGGAGACTTCCAAGTGATATAACCACCAATATCACATTCCAAAGGATGCCTTGACAATGCTGCTGCATCAGGTTCAGAAGCATTTGGATGATTTATATACCCTAAAGCAATTTTAATGTCCTCCAGGAGTTCAGTTAGACTTCGTTTTGAAATACGCTGCTGTTTAAATATTGCATTCAGAACTACCTGAAGCCAGTCAAAAGACTTGTCAGTTGAATCTTGTTTTGAATGGATCTCTTGTTCCTTGTCACTATAACCAGAATGATCTTGTTCCATGGGAACTAGTTCCTTACCAGCCGAGAAAGAGCGATTCCCACCTGCAGAAGGTGTTTGTGTGGAAACTATAGCTAATTTCTCCATCTCAACAAAATCATCCATTAACCTCATGTCCAGAACTTCAATGTCTTTACATTCCGACGGACTCTTGAGTTTCCTATCTCTGAAGTGTTCCAATTCTGCGATTAGAGCATTAGCCAATGATCCAGTATCCGAACCTGCAGTTGGAGAGTGGATTTCACGTGATGATGGACTATGCTTTGCCAGCTCCAAAGACCTCTGGTCTCCAGAAAGCTCTATAAGCTTAGCCTCGACCTGTGATAACCTTGAAGCTGTTCGTGAAAACATGATCCTTGAAGATTGAAGCTCGGCATTCTTCCTGCTCATCATTTCTCTGAGAGCTTTATTCTCCTCTTCCTTACCAAGCAATTGATCGATCAGGAAATCAACGTTCTTCACAGGAGTTTCTGGAAAATTTCCCATGATGGGGTCTCTGACTACCAAATCTCTGGTGAGGTTCGGTTTTCTTGATTCCATCTGATCCCTTCCCAGCATTTCGGCTTCACTCTTCATCTTTGAGAAAGCTACAGGACCAGGCAGCCTTTTCCGCATTAGGGTACGGAGTCTCTGACATTCTGCTTCTAGCTTTGTGACTTTCCTCGTGCTCTCCAAGTGTTGCCTGCGTGATGTGTCAGCAGAACGACGATTATATTCCAGCTCCTCATTTCGAACCTCAAGTTCCTTCTGAAGCATGTGAAACTCGTACTTCAGAAAAGCATTTTCTTTTTCTGTGTTATCTAATCTAGCCATTAGAGTATTGAATTCCGCAACTGTCTGAGATGCACGTTTATGCAGTTCTTCGACCAATTTCTCTTTGAGTAAAAGGGCATTACTCAGATTTGTGTTCTCAATGGCTAAATTCGTAAGCCTTTTGCTTGTCTCCATCAACTTGACTTCCAAATTTTTCTGTGCCTTCTCAAATTCACTTGTTGCTTCCATGACGGCATCATGTATCTTTTGCTCCTGTTCTTCTCGGAAAGAGTTCAGCTGCTGCATGCATTTCTTTAATGCAGCATCTGAGTGACTTAATTTTTGATTTGCAGCTAATCCCTTCTTCGGATCTCCATCCAGTTCCTTTTTTAGGCAATCTACTTCTGCCTCTTCCTTTTCCTGGCCTACAATAAAAAAATATCCACCCATTGGATTGACCAAAAGACTACTAGCCAAGTATATAAAGAAGAAAGATAATCAAATGTCATATACAGGCAGACACAAGAAGGAAGAATCACCTGCAGTGGGTCTTGGTACTGATTTTTCATTTTCTGTCACAACATGACAATCAAGAAGCACTGAAGCTAACTTCTCGTTTAAGTTTCTTACAGCTCTAACTGGTCCTACTCCATTCCCAGTTGGAATATTTTGTGTCTATTGAAATGAAACAAAGGGAATACATCAGTCAGATTTCATATTTTTCACCATGAAGTAAGTTTAATATGTGGACAAGAAACCAGCTCGTACTGAGATGCAAGTTCAGGAAAGAATCAGAAGAGAAAGAAAGAAACAACAATGAATGTATAAGCATGATTGCTACAGGACTTGATTACATCACATACATTAGAGGGATCATAAAAGTGTTTTCACAGAGGGAAAGTGGAAGTTGAAATAGAAATTTAATTGGCTTTGAACGAAAGAAGCCTCTGAGATTACCTCTTCATCAATTCCTTTCACAGAAATGCCGAATTTGTTTGTTGCTACAATTGTCTTTTCGGAAGATCTTTTCCTCCAAAACCATGTCTTGTTGTCCATCATTTTACTTTCTGTGTATAGTTAAAAGTAAATTCATAAGCAAGAAACATTCTTCCCAAGATTTCAGTTAAAGATTGATGCGAAGTTTAAACATATATACTCAACATGAACACAGTGGTGGCATAGTTATTCTAGTTAAAGATTTCAGCTCCTAGTGTCATTTCAATGATGCAATCATCTGCTTTGCAAACTTTCTACCCTTAATTATTCTCGATCATTTGATGGAACTATATAAAGATGAGCCTACTTGAACCATCTACTAATGCAAGCAAGCATCAATTACCATATCTAGCTATTGCCTATAATGCGGGCTACCATCTTAAAAAAAAAACAAAGAAGAAGAAGAAGAAGAAAGAAGCAAACACCATATATATATCCGGTGCTCACCTGAGCCTGGCTTAGCAAGAAGAGATGTAATCAGTTATAAACGATCATCCACCATTAATGTTCCTTCCAAAGGAGCTGTGAGAGATAGAGAGAGAAAGATTTAATGTAGAGACTGTCAAGACTTAAATGCAGCAAAACCTTGACGGGTAAGGTAGAAACTGTGAAGTGACAAACAGTCGAGTGTAGTGTATAGAGCACAAGAACTTGAGCCCATAGAGATCATGTGATCTTATACAAGGACAAATGTGAGCATGGTTTTCTTGCATAGGATGCTTAGCTACTGCACCACCGACAACTATACCTAAGTATGCTAATCAAATGAGAGGGAGAGAAGGAGACAGTGAGGTAAAGGGAAAGGGAGAAAAGAAACGATGAAAACTGCCAAAGGTAAGGCAAGTGAAAGATGAGGCTTGACCGCTTGAGGCTATCCTTTTCTGGTTTCGTTATCTTGATTTACTTCGGGATGCGAGATTATCAAAGGATGGATAGATGGTGCCATGCTAACTAAGGTCTCGTGTGTAGCACGCTCCGTGAATTATGATGGAGTGCCTAGCACTGGCTTCGAAGGAGGGTGTGATACGAGGCATCATAAAAAGTGAAATGGGACCTGATAAAAATGATTCTGTCTGAGGTATTGTTCTTTTCCGTTTTAGAGTAAAACGTGGTTTGTAGCAGGAATGTGTTCGGATTTTAAGATCTTTAGACAGCCACGGAATGTCTTATGCAAGTTGTGGGTCTCGCAAATCATTGTGGAGCATATGATGGCTGTCGTGATGTCAATTGTATTTGTGATTTTTATGTTTTGTTTTTATATTTTAAAAATATTTTTATTTTAAATGAATTGATTTATATTTTTAGATATTTTAATTTATTAATATTAAAAATAATTTTTAAATAAAATATATTTTAAAAAACACCACCGCAATACTTCCATGCCGCAACATAAATGCTACACAACTCATGCCCCTCAGCTTTCCATTTTTGACATGGTTTGGAATCATTAAGAATTGTTGCTCAATTATCTTTCATGTCTTCACTTTAATAATTGTTTTTTTGAATTTTAACAATAGTGAAACAAAAGTCAGATATATATATAAATATGTAAAGGGAGGGAGGGGAGTCTTAAACGTTCATTCTTTTCAGGGGGGAGAACTTTCACCTTAGCAATTTTCAAGATGCAACTTTATGGAATGTCATTGGAGAATATTGAAAGACGTGCGCCACCATTCTTTTGACCTCCTGCACCTTTATTATACGCCTAATAATTAATTAAATTTTCATTTTTCTTCGACAAGATAACATGCCTAATCATGATTTCAAGACATGGAACCAAAATGAAAAAACAGGGAAAATGAATAGCTTTTCTTAACTTTGGACAAAATATTTATTGTATACTTTATGCTTTCTAAATTGTAAATATTAGGGCCTAATTTTTTAAGTTTCATAAAATAAAGAGCTAATTTTAGTACAAAATTTCATTTTGCTTTTATTTTTATTGAGAAAAAAACAGAAAGTCTCGAGATTTCAGCAGTAAAGAGAAAAAATCATTGATAATCTTGGTATCGATACGATTGATCTTGGTATTAACATGTTCCATTCAATAAGAAGAGATTCACTTAGGTATCTTTTTCATCTTTAAATTGCCTAAAAAATAAATTTGAGATGGGGGAAAAAAAATTTTGTTCAGGATAATTTTAGGTTTTGTACCCTTTTTGGGTTTTTTAATGTCATTTATGAGTTTATCAAAATATTTCAGGTAAAAAATAAATTGAAAATCAACTTTTTGGACAAATAATATATACGACCTAATTTTCCAACAACTCATAGTCACTATAAACTAGGTTAGCTGACAACGAGACATCTATAAAAAAGTTTTTAGTTAAAATTGTTTGCCCTTTACTATTAGAAAAAATAAAAACCTAGCTCGCAAGCTTGACTTTTTTCATGGGCTAGTGTGCGAGTCAGACCATTTTATAGACCAGGTGTATAAGTAGGCACACACATCTAACTTTTTTTTATTTAATGTATTTTTAATCCCTTCAAATTAAAAAAAAAATTCCATTTTTTGTTTGTTTTTTATAGGGTTTTTTTTCAAAAAAAAACTTTTGTTATCATTCTTTAAATAATATAGGGCTATTTAATTATTCCAAGACCAAATGAGCTCTTATTTTTATTTTACTTTTTAAATTGTTGTTTGATATAAAAGAAAGTCTTACGCATCTGATCAATATATAATTAAATGGGATGTATGATTCAAATCACGAGTTTAGTAGGTTAATCTCTATCAAAAAAACATATTAGAGGAGCCTACATATTTTTTTTTTCATGAAAAAAAAATTATTCAGCATGTGATGAAGCGTGATCAAATAGCTAGTTGATGCTAAAACTCATTTAGTCAATTTGTAAAAGTAGTTTTCTGTGTAATAATCAGTTTTTATAAGTAGTTTTCTATTTAATTGTTAAACAATTCAAATAAATAAAAAGGAATACAAAAAATAAAACAGAAGGAGGCTAGGGTTTCATTAATGCAACATAATCATAATAATCTAAAGGAACAAATTTAACCTAAATAAAAAAAGATTAAATATAGGCTAAACTAAAAAAAAAAAAAAAAAGTTATTCTACCTTTAATAAATAAAATAAAATAACCATATATTTCATAGCATCTCTCTTCAAACTCACGATACAACAGTTACAAGTATCGAGAGTTTGCCAACTAGAAAATAAAATTGAAAAATAAAATGCGACTTGATAAAGAACTCTGAAATATACAAAGAAGAAACAAAAGGCAAAGTCATAGTGTCATGCTTGAGATGATGACGAGTAAGATGACAATCAATCTCAATGTATTTAATTCGTTTATTAAAAACTGAGTTATGAGTAATCTAAATAGAACTCTAGTTGTTACAATACATAAAAGTATGATGAAAAAGGAAAACTTTCATATCTATAAGTAACCAACGTAACTAAAAAATATTTTTGATAGTAGATGTCATAGCATGATATTTTGCTTCATTTGAAAATTGAAAATAATATATTGTTTCTTAGTCTTCTAGAAATAAGAGAATCACCTAAAAGGATACAAAAATTAGTAACAGACTTGCGATCTATGAAATCACTGCTATAATCAACATTAGAGTATGCACACAGTTTCAAAAAAAAGATGAATAAAAATAAAAAACTCTAAAAGACTATACCTCAAAGATATCATAAAATACGAAGAACAACTGTTCAATGAACGATAATACAAGTAATAAATTGACTAACAACATAAATAACATATACAATAATTAGACGAGCAATAATGAGATATATCAAGTTTCCAACAATAACATGGTATAAAGCACAATCTAACAAAGGTAAACCATACAAAAAAAAATACTTTGCATTAACCTCAATAAGAGCATTTATAGTCTTATTATGAGTAATTATAGCTCACTCAAAAATATCTGCAATATATTTTAACTGGAAAAAAAATATAACCTTTGGGTGAGTAAGTTATCTCAATACCCAAGAAATATCATAGAGAACCTAAATTCTTCATTTCAAATTGTTTAGCTAACTTCATCTTCAAAGTTGAAATATTATTAATGCCTTCACTAATAATAATCTTGTCATCAACTAAAAATAAAATGATACAGCCTACATCAATGCACTTAATAAAGGAATAAAATCATGATTATTAGAAACAAATCCAAGAGAATAGATCACAATAAACAATTTCTCAAACTAAGCACAAGGTGCTTGTTTAGGACCATATAACATTTTCTTGAGCTTGCAAACATACCTAAAGTCATGTGAAACACCAGGAGTGGGTGCCATATAAAATATTTCTTGAAGATCTCCATTCAAAAAATCATTTTTAACATTAAGTCGGGAGATATGTCACTGACAAACCAAAGCTACTACAATAAGAGTACAAATAACAGTTATTTTTGCAACAATAGCAAATGTCTTCTCATAACCCATATCATATTGTTAAGAGTATCCTTTTGAAACTAATCTAGCTTTGTATCGCTCAATAAAATCATCAAAATTAGTATTAATCTTATACACCCAACGACAACCAACAACACTTTTACTAGGAGCTAGAGGAACCAAATTCTAAGTATTTATCTTATGCAAAGAAAAAAGTTCCTCATCTATATCTTAGTACCAAAAAGGATTAAGAATTACCTCTTTATAGGAAGAGAGTTTAGAAAGACAATGAATAGAAGCTAAAAAGAAAATAAAAGATGAAGAATAACAAGAATAAATAAATTATGGTAACTTTATGGACTTACTAATAAAAAGGATTGAGTATTTTTCTTATGGATTGATATAGAAGTGGATCTAAAATCTCGGATGGAGCTTGAAGGGTTATAAAAGAAAATAGAGCTTTTGGTGTACTGGAAAGTAAAGTGTTAGTACCTATAGAATAATTAGCATGAATTACATTATGGATCCTCTCACAAAACACTATGAACTCACTATTCACGATGGTTTTTTCTTTATCTCAATACAATTTTTTTTATTTCACTCTTATATGATCAAATTGGAGGCCAGTCTAAGTTAATGTATTAGGAAATGGTAAGATTACAAAACATAAAACTAAAGTGAAAGGGGGGGGGGGATGGGTAGCTATTTTGATTTTTGAACAAAATATTTATTGTAAACCTTATATTTTCTAAATTGTAAATACTACAACCCTAATTTTTTAAGTTTTGGAAAACAAAGAGCTAATTTTAGTCCAAAACTTTATTTTTTTTTTAATTTTTTAATCCTTGATTTAAAAGGAAAAAAAAAGAGAGAATCACGAGATTTTAGCTGTAGAAAGAGAAAATTATCGTTAACATCAATTCCAACTACCAATATAGTTGATTTTAATGTTAATGGATTCTATTTAGCGAGGGGAGATCCACTGAAGGTATTTTTTCACCTTTAAATTGCCTAAAAAAACAAATTTGAGCTAGGAAAAAGTTTCTATTTGTTTTGTGATAATTTTTGTTATCAATCTTTAAATAATTTAGGGTTATTTTTTATTTCAATCCCACATGCAGCCCCTATTTTTATTTTACTTTTTTAAATTATTGTTTGATATAAAAGAAAGTTTCATGCATATGGTTAATGTATAATTAAATGGGATACATGATTCGAATCATGAGTTTGATAGGTTGATCTCAGTTAGCTAAAGTCTTTTTTTTTGTTATTTTTTAAATTAAATATTTTTAATTTTAATTTTATCATTAAATTCTTTTTGTATTTACTATAAAAAAACACATTGAAGAAGCCTATGTATTCCTCTTCTTTTTTTCCATGAAAACAATTATTCGGCCAACAATAAAGTGCTGAAAAAATGCTGTTAAATGGCTAGTTGCTAAAACGCATTTATAAATCAATTTATAAAAAGTAGTTT